GATTTCCAGCAACTGATTTGCTCTTGTTTTCGAAGTTGAATAAGAAAAGATTTGCGTCCGATTTACGATCGAGGAGTTATCACAGGCCATCCTTGAAATTTTCACAAGGGATAACTTCCGAAAGGGATTCCACAAATGGAAGGACAATTGTATACCTTTATATGTTACCATTATAGATAAAATGTTTCTATCGTTTTATTGTATGCATATGGAATAGTTATCTGTAGGTTAAGGACACTATATCATCATCAAGCTAACGTAACTGTTTTTACAGGGATGTAGGTTCTGAGAAGCAAAACAGTACCAACGTCTTTTAATAATTTAGAGACGAAAAGCAGTCCAATTGATTTGGACGCAATTTAATTTCCGTGTTTCGGTTCTTTAATTGGTTTATTCCTCGATATTGGGAGCGTTTTCATTCCCATCGCTAAATTAAATGTGTCGTTCGTACTAATTAGCCATTCGCAGAATCTTTAGATGAATATTAAATTTCAAGAAAGCGTTCTTATGCGCAACTGTGGTAATTGTCGTCCTACTCGCCGTTTTGCCGATGAAAAATCAATAAATGAAGGCGTAGAATCAGGGAGAAGTTTGATCTATAAAATCGTTCATAAGTTTTTATGTCTTTCTTGAAAATATGTTAACCTGACTTTTTATTCAAATTAGCCTACTAGTTAAATACTTTAGTTGTGATAATAATTTTGTTTTTTTTTTTCAGTGCCAATTATAAACATCGAAGTAGTTGCTGGCGATCCAGCATTTTTACCGTGTAACATTTCTACAGTAGCCCCGAATGATGAAATACTATTGGTTTTATGGTACAAAGAAGACCTGGGAACCCCCATTTACAGGTAGAAAATACTTTTATTTATATAATTAGTTTATTATTTATATATTGCTATCTACAAATTAAAGTAATTATGAGATATCTTTCTAAAGCTACCGGCATACTTATAGTTATTTATCTTATAATTGGTTATTTCATATATTGGATCAACTAGGGATATCCCGGCGTATCCTGATCGCTACATTTCCTGACAAGAAGTCTGTTCCCATAATATTTTTGTTGAAGCTTTTATGTGCTTGCATTTAATAAATATTGATGTGTCATTCATCATCATCATCACCATAAGGTCGTCAGTCCTAAGACTGGTTGGACACGTACCTCCACTCTTTCCTATCCTGAGCTAAACTTCGCATTTCCCTGAAACCAGAACAGCCCACATCCTCAACAATTTGCTAACAGTAATCTAATCTGGGTCTACCTCTACCCCTCCTAAATCCTGTTTCTGCCTCTAATATGTCTCTGACTAGACCTTCATGCCTAAGGAGGTGTCCTACCAACCTATCTCGCATATTTTTTATTGACTTCCATAGAGTCCTCTGTTCTCCTATTCTTTCCAATACCTCTTCATATCTAACCTTTTCTACCCACGATATCCTCATCATCCGCCTATAACACTACATTTCGAACGCTTCTAACCTTTTCTTTTCCGCCGCTCCCACTGTCCATGTTTCGCACCCGTACAGCGCCGCGCTCCAAACATACACCTTTAACAACCTTTTTCGAATTTCTAAATTAACCGTTCGCGAGCATAGAAGTGACTTCTTTTTATTAAAGGCGACACGACCCTGCGCTATCCTCTGCTTTATATCCCTACTACTCCTTCCATCCTGACTTATCTGACTTCCTAGGTATCTAAAATCAGCCACTTCTTCTAATTTTTCGTCTCCTATCTTTATATTCGCTCTTTCCCTACTTTTTCTTCCCTTGCATATCAGTATTTTAGTTTTACTTTTATTTATTTTCATACAGTACTGATCTGTAAGTACCGCTTCCATTTTATTTAAAGCTATCTCTAGGTCCTCCTTGTTAGATGCTAATACTGCTATATCATCTGCAAATCTAAACATACTAATCTTTTGCCCTTGCACATCTATCCCTACAGTTGTACTGTCTTTAATGATGTTGATGGCGTCTTCGATGTGATGTGTCATTGACACTTATTAATTTTACCTGACAAAAGGAATTCCTGTTTATTTTAATAAATCCTTTTGACTGAAACGTGTTCTTCTAAACTTTTGAATGAAAGTTCTAGCTGATTTAATGTTTTATGTTTGACGGTGCATTTCCAAAAATAGTTCATTTCAATGGCAATAGATCTATCTATGTTTTCATTTTTACAAATACCTGTATTATACAGATCTCTTTGTGGAAAAATTCCTTAGTGGAGTCTGCACAGGTATTCGTGTTTTGCAAAGGAATGGTTCAACCAAACAGCGGAAATTTTAATTAAAGCTTCGTCGGAGTTAGAACGGTTTTTGCTCTGGCACAGAATCGTATTTGTGTTTTTTCTCGTGGAAAAACTGCTTTAATCCGCTAATAGAATTTTAGAAAGTTTCGGGGAAATTAAATGAAAACAATTCGAGTCTCATCTCATTTAGGTACTCGACTAAACATACGTGTATTTCAATATGGTCATCTAAACTTTTAACGAGTGACAATACAGAGATAAAAGTAAACTGCATAGTTCTTTATTTATTCCTAAAAATGTGTTAGGGTTAAATAGAGAAAGAAGAAGGTAAATCATTGGTTAATAATATTATGTTACTTTATTTATCTGAATTTTGAAATATTCGTAGTCTAAAAAAAAATCGGTTGTCTGTAAAGTCGGTTTACTGACGATAGTTGAACGTGACAACGTCATAAGAAAATGCTGATGGAATGGTTTCATTTTTGAAAAGAAAATTTTATTTTTATTTGTTAGATATTTTGTATGGATATAGAGAAGGAGGTAAATAGAAATGTATTATTGTATAGCAGCTGTCCACACGGACGCATCGCTCACTCAAGTAGGAGAGAGACAGACGTCGAACGCTGCCGAACGCGGATGCCGATTGTGCCTCTTTGTCGCTCGTTCCGCGCTCTCGCTTGCACTTCAAGCCTTAAATGGAACGCCTCAGAGCGAGGTAACGCCGCATGAGTCATGTTTTTTCGTATTTGCAGCCGGCTCCATCGAATTATAAGACGTTGTCGAAAACGAGCTGCTTATTTTGTGAAATGCGTAATTTAGCTTAAACCGATTCCAAAATAAAACACATTTTCGTGTGGGATGAATCTCTCTTTCGTTTTTGTTTGTTAAGTTATGATTATACTTAGAGCGATTCTTTTTTTTTGTGGGAAATAAAAGAAAACTCCCTACAAGTCAATATTGCAAAACACAAGACAATAGGGATTTTTCGCACTGGAAAATGAAAACTATCGGAGACAGGGGCCGTATAAACAAAACACTGTGCCTTATGGAAGCTTTTGTTGGAATATTCAAATGACGACTTCGAGTAAGATGTGCGTTATATATCTCACACTAAGGCATTGTACTTCGGTGAATAGCTCCTGTACGGTAATGGTTTCTTTCAACTTTGACAAAGAGTTATGAGTTCATATTCAAAAATGCCCACGTATAATGCACAAAAGTGTGTGTAAACACTATATAAAAGCTTGAGTAGGTGGTGGAGATTACTGCGACAGGTAAATTTTTCTGTGCAAATGTTGCTGGATAAGCGTAGGTAGGCATGTGGTTTACCAGCAAGATTGAAAAATTTGAAAATAAGATACACGAGACATAATCAAACTATGTCAAACATAAGTACGGTCATTTTGTCAAAAACGTAACACTTGGCATTCATAAGTCCAATACGTACAAACCAAAACCATAAAATATTTGAAAAAAAGTATTACATTAATTACAATATACGCACCGTCCAATGCATAAACGTCTAAACAAATTAAGGCTATCATTTTCTAATGGATCTCAATTAATTTCATGCTCTCTCACTATGTAAATCAAATGGTGATGTTCAAACAGAAAACTATCGATAAATATCCACATATAAGTACTACGTCTATGTGGCACGATTAATATCTGACCGGGAAAGACCGAAGGGACATTTATTTAGGGATTTGGGCAACAATTGATCTTCACTAGTAGTACCAGAGCAAATATTTCACACAAATAGATTACTATTTCAAGAGATATAGTAGGCTTTAGGTATGGCTTTAGTGAAAATGTTGTTTGAAACTTTGAACTTTTTTTCTTCTTCTCTTAACTGAATCTTCCAAACGTAAAGTAATAATACACCGGTGGGGAATATGTTTAACCGACCATATTAAATGTTAAAAATCGTCATCAGCAACGCATTACGTACTATAGTGCTCAGTTTTGCTACCATCAACCTGAATGACAGCAATATTGATGTGACATTGACCCTTTTTACATTTATAAAATAAGATCATATTCCATATTCCCATGCTTATCCCTCCGTCGTCCTTCTTGTCGTTCGACTGTATTCGCGGCTGGTTCGGGTAGACTCTTGCCTGAAGTTCGATTCTTAGTCACAATGCGTCGCATCGTTCGATCGTTGAAGGGGAGTTAAAGCCCCGTCTGTCGTATATACGATGCCTGTTCGAAAAGTATCGCGAATTTTATAGTTTTGCAAAAGCCAATCTTTGTTCTTCCACAAATCCGGGAATTTCTGGCAAATTGCTTCGCGCAAATTGCGCATAACTTGCAGGTAACATTCCTTATTGACCGTTCTACCCTGTGGTAAAGACTCATGATGCACCACCCCCATATAATCGAAGAAAACTGTAAACAAAACCTTCACATTCGACCTAACTTGGCGCGGATTTTGGCTCGTGCGGCAGCTTGCACTGGGATGATTGAGCTTTGGTTTCCACATCATAACCATAAACCCATGATTCATTACTAGTTATGACCCTCTGGAGCAAATTTGGGCCATCGCGGACAACAGTCCAACAGCTTCTTAGCAAAGTTATATGATGCAGTTGCTGAAATTGAGCAATTTTGGTACAAATTTCTTGGCGGCCTGTCTCATGCTTAAATCATTGGTGTATGAAATACATATAATACGTAATAAACGTTTAAAGTGTTTTTTCTGTGCTGAATTATATATATATATAGAAATGACGTTTGTTACAGTGTTGATGGACGTGAACGGGGATTTGGTGCGGCCGAACGATGGTCACACGAACACGTGTTCTCCAACAGGGCTTACTTCATGCCCGACAAACATCCTGCGGAACTTGGCGTCGATCATATCCGAGAAAGCGACGAGGGCGTCTATAGGTGCCGCGTCGACTTCAAAATCGCCCAAACCCGTAACAGTAAAGTCAATTTGACAGTTATTGGTAAGTCGTCTTGTTAATCTAATTTAGCACGTAGTAAACAGTAACACGTCTTTGATAAAACTCACAAAAGATTAAAAAAATCAGTCAAGTAAGTTTGTAAAATTAATTTCATATTCCCTTGTTGTTACTGTCAACGATGGCTAACAGCAGCTAGTTTCCGTGACGTCAGAGTAGGTATGGAGGGGGTAAAATTGAACGAAAACGAAAATAAACCTTCATGCATGGGATTTTGGACCAGAATTGACATAGCTTATCTACTAACTCTTCGAAGTTGAAATTTGTTCTTCGACAAAACTTAAGTTGTACATGTTTGTTACAGTTACGAAGTTATGATCCGATAAATTTTGATGACACTGCATCACTACATCAGTTTCGACTATATAAACCCTCTTAGTTTCGAAGTGCAAAATTATGAAGATAATGTGCCCGGGGAGTAAAATTGTTTTCTTATCGCTTAAACGGGATAGTTTGCTATTTTGGGCATTAAGTAACTGCAACTTTGTTCTTTGAACTTTACTAGCTACTAAACTTGCAACATAGTCAGAGAGAGTGCCCATATTAAAAGACATTCTTCATAAAATGTCGCAGTTTTTGAAGAGCTTTTAGTGCGTCGATTTTCTGAATGAAATGCTCAAGTTAAACTTGAAAAGTTTCGATTAAAAACAATAAGAAAATAAGGGGGTTGCTTAAGCGTATTTATCTCACCCCTAGACAAAAGCTACCAGTCTCTCTCCAGTCTCTCAGAGTCTTTCAGCGTCTCTGAGAGTCTTTCACATCCTCTCATTTATTGCCTAGGTGTTTTTATGGATCTCTCACAGTTTCTGTATGAGAGACTCGAACGATAAAATTGTTAATTCAGAGATTCGAGTCTATCACAGAGAGACTGAATCAATAAAACAGAAAAATAGAGAGACTCGAGTCTCTCGTAGAAAGACTAGGATCTTTGAAATATGTTGAACTTAGAAAATTTGGTTAACAAATAAATCTGAGAGAATAAATACAAACATAAAATAAAAGCGCAATAACTTCTTCAGAATTGATAAACTAACATTTCGGATGTATAAACAATCGTTCTTAAAAACAACTATAAACGAATATTATGATCTTTAATATTATCTTCCATTTTACGCTTTGTATGCATGACTGACGTTTAATATTGAATTCGCACGTAATCTGTAAGTCCAAACCATTTTCTAGTGTAGATAGATGTTCACATAAATCTAAATCGGCGAATGCAGCGATTCAATTTTTCAATCAAACTGTCGTACGTGATAATTTATCACATGCCCAATAATCGTGAATTTCTATGTCTCTTTCGTAGAAAATGTCAAACACCTGTCTCTGCATTTTCCTCTTTTCAAATCAGTTATTAGGTTTCGTTGACTATTATTTCTGAGTAATATCTGTCTCGTGGTGATTTTCATTTACGTAGAAGTACATTTTTAAAGCGGAAAGTGTTTTAAAACTTCACCAAAATGATATACTATTCTACTACCCATATTCCAAATGTAACTGTAGACGAATATTCCAAACGTAACTGACCTTTTAGTAAACATATTTTAGTTAAAAAAAAAAAATAGAATTACGATGCAATTTATATTGGACAAACTGGTCGCACTTTTAAAACAAGACTAAACAAACATGGATATTTTTCAAAAGTACAGGGATGTAGACATAATGAAGATGTCAGAAAAGGGAAAATCAGGAAATCGTTCTTAATAGTTTAAACAGTTTACACATTGTTATAGCAGTATTAGCATCTAGCAAGGAGGACTTAGAGATAGCTTTAAATAAAATGAAAGCGGTACTGACAGATCAGTATTGTATGAAAATAAATAAAATTAAAACTAAAATACTAGTATGCAAGGGAAGAAAAAGTAGGGAAAGAGCGAATATAAAGATAGGAGACGAAGAATTAGAAGAAGTGGCTGATTTTAGATACCTAGGAAGTCAGATAAGTGAGGATGGAAGGAGTAGTAGATATAAAGCAGAGGATAGCGCAGGGTCGTGTCGCCTTTAATAAAAAGAAGTCACTTCTATGCTCGCGAACGGTTAATTTAGAAATTCGAAAAAGGTTGTTAAAGGTGTATGTTTGGAGCGCGGCGTTGTATGGGTGCGAAACATGGACAGTGGGCGCTGCGGAAACGCAAAAGGTTAGAAGCGTTCGAAATGTGGTGTTAGCGACGTATGATGAGGATAACGTGGGTAGAAAAGGTTACAAATGAAGAGGTATTAGAAAGAATAGGAGAACAGAGGACTCTATGGAAGTCAATAAAAAATAGGCGAGATAGGTTGGTAGGACACCTTCTCAGGCGTGAAGGTATAGTCAGAGACATATTAGAGGCAGAAACGGGAGTTAGGAGGGGTAGAGGTAGACCTAGATTAGATTACTGTTCGAAAATAGTTAAGGATGTGGGTTGTTTTAGTTTTAGGAGTTTCAAATTGTATTTCATCCATTGTGTACCATTGAAAGCCTAATAGATTTACATATTAATAATAATCTGCTGGTAGAAAGAATTCTCTGTCTTTATGAAATAAGTTTATACTGCAATTGAGATTTGATAATGTATTCTCAATTGTTTTATTATGCTATATAAACTATATGCGGTCAAAGATATTGAATTATGCAGCTGGGCTGTTTTGTGACTCCATGCGCTGTACACGCATGGCTTACCTTTGAGGTAATTATCACGGTGGACAATTCAATTACTTTACGCTGATTTGTATTCTGAGAACAAACACGTCCAACAGAAGCTAATATTGTTTATGACGAAATAATTAAATGCTTTCGGCTGCCGCTTGAGACCTAAACGTACCATTGAAATATACAACATTTCCGGAGCTATTTACCTACACCTAACAAGTGCCTTTATATGGGTATCAACATAAATATGTGTAGAATATTTTTTTACGATTATTTTTGTTTTTTTGTGAGCATAAAATTTGTTCCCCGTTATTATCTATTCTTTTTCTGCGACCGTAACTCTAAAAACAATATGGAATGTAGGGTATTTTGTTACAACAAATACAGCATATGCAACATATTATGTTAAAATTGCGAACTGCAATATAACTCTCGCAGTTGAACAATCTATCTGCGTAATATGCTGGAAAAGAATGGCACATCATTCATTATATGTCATGTTGACAAAGACTTCGTCCCTGGGTTATTTCAGTGCATGTATGTAAGTAATAGAGAAAATATAAGACACGGGTTGATAAGCATAATATCATGTGTAGGGATGTATACTGTTAGAAGAATTCTGAAAACAATAGTTGAAACATGAATTGGAGATGTCTTACCTGGTAAGTACATCTGGCGTTGTGAAATATGATCTACACTCTTACTCGGAGGAATTTAAGACTTTTAGACAATACCCCTAGAATGGATATAGGTCCTTAGACCGATATATAATTCTTATTTTATTTGTCAATTATATTGGCTGCAAATTTAGAATTTTTAGATTACATGTTGACCTAAATTCAAAAAGTACCTATTAATGATATTCCCTCGATTCTGAATTCGTTAAAATGTGGAATATTGATGACCGTAACAGGATAGAAAAAGAAATCACTTTTGTGCTCGCGATCAGTTAATTTGTAAATTCGAAAGTAGGGGCTTTGTATATGGATGTGAAATGTATAATTACCTAATAAAACTGACAGAAATTAATGTATGCCTTTTATATTACAAAATATCTCACTAATTTACTTCAAATCGCCTGATGGTGGTTTACGTCGATCCAGTTTCAATTATTTTTTTCCCCTAAAGTATAAATAATGACTCAAAGATTTTGTTTCCATTGTTGAATAAGATCAATAGACGAACGGAGCGATTTCTCTATAGGTTTTTGAAGTTTATTCTTTTTGTTACGTGAAATAAATGGATTCGCTAAAGGGTTTAGCCCATAGAAAATTCGCGTAAAAAGTCCCGATCGTTTTTGTCCCGATGGTTGGCTAAAGCCGTCTAGTTTGAAACAAATGTAAGCCATTTCTTGCAGGGAACCGTGAAGCATGACGCTTCTGACAAATTACAGACATACATCCGATATTGAACTTTGCTACTGCAACAATTTGTAGCACATACAACTCGGTTGCAACCATAGATAACTTACAGGTACCAAATGTTATTACTTTACATCAGTTACCAATTTGTTCGACATTGTAGTAGATACTTTTTGTTGTATTCCCGGTCTGGGATAGACTTTTGGAAAGGTCAATATGAGATGTAAAAATGTAACTCGACTATGAGGTCCTTTTTGCCTGGGCATATTACCTTTTTTACAAATGGGTAATGTCTTTCCCTTTTAAAATGATATTAAACAAATAATTAGTAGATTTCAATATATATCTATGGGTACATAATTGTCATCTATAAGATATAGGTAGAGATATGCTCATTAGATTGTCGTTATGAAAAATGTATTAGGTTCTGTGAAGACCGCGTTTTAAAAAACAAAAAATTGGTGTTTCTTCTATCAAGTCGGAAAATTTTCATCTCGTTCTCGTAATTACTACTTTTTATCGTTGAAGGTTTTTTTGGGATATTCTTTTGCTCGCTAAATTCACGTCAAGAGCTGACTGACGACTAAGTTCGTAATATCCGCAATAATGGTAGGTCCTTTGTGTATGAATATTGTTATGCAGAGCGAGCAAAGCGAAAGGGTGTTCTGCGTATACCTCGGACGGCCGGTCCAACCAACAACGGCGTCAAGATCAATAAAGGCCGTCAGGTGGTGAACGTCACCTATGTTGACTCCCCATTCCGCAAAGAAAACCGAAAGAGTTACTCGCTTACTAAGTGTATTAGACTTATACAACTTCAGAAACTTCGATTTACGCTATGAGAGGGAAGGTGAAAGTCCCCCCTCCCTAAAAACTTAATTAATTGTTGTTCCCTAAATTTTACAATGAAAAAAAAAGTCAAGAGCACACGATGGAGTTCCGTTTTGGTTTATTGAATTTAAGTACAGTGAGGGTAGATATCTACTTCAAATTAT